AAACGCCGCACAGAATTACTCGGTCGAATCAATTCAAAAGGGTAAACCTGTCCCCTAATGAATAGGTTAGTCTCGCATGTTATTATATGTATATCCATATCCTCGCTCACGTGCCACTTCCTTTTGAACAAAAGTTGAATGCCTAGCACTTTTGAGGATATTAGTTATTGCCATTCATTTAGTCCTTTATCCTTGTGTAGTCTTAAAGTGCGGATGACGTAGGGGTAAGAGGCACAGATACAGTGGCGTGTGTTCGAGGATTGGAAACTGTCCAAAAACTCTGGAACAGTTCAGTTAGTAAATCAGTATAAGTATGATTGAGGGGGATGGACGTGGTGTAGTGACAGTGACGTTATTTACCACGCACACGATCCGAGGATCAAACCCAACCCAAAGAAGCCTGGTTCCATATGGTCCATGAATTCGTACCAGACTTCTCTGGGAGGACAAGAGCGATTGTAGTTGTATTATTGCACGGAATCATATTCAAACGCAGCTGCAATTCTGAATGGAAGTTGAGGCGTAGCGCATCCTGAGGAGGGTGATCAAGCGTGCGTTGAGTATTTCTCGACGAGGGAATCGAATTAGATCCAGTGAGAGGGAAGGAAACATTATTCTCAACTCCTCTTCCGATTTTAAAGTACATAATAATGTTTCTCATAATTGTGATTTGATTTTGTTCTCTACAGCTTCATCACCAAAGCCACGCCCAGGGTCTACCGGCACGTTGGTCCGGTTTTGAGAAACTTTATGACCCCTCCTTTTGGAGACTCTAAAACCCCCTTCCCCGTAATAGTTATAATGTGTGTAGAATGCGTAAGGCCCTCTGCGCATTGCGAAGTTGACTCCTGCGCATATGACCCTACCGAAATGTTCTGCCTATCTCTACATGCATCCTTATGATAGCAGCCTCTATTTTCCCCTGACTACCACACTGTTACCTGGGCCATTCAGCTACCTCTGAAGACTACGAAAGACTTCGTGTGCGTGGCGTATTCGAGCAGAGCTTATCAACCACCGCTATCACACTGTTTGTTCTTCCACAGCCGCAATGTGCCTTACTTGAGCTTCTTCGCTCGAGAAGATAGCACTCACAAATATTATATGAGTTAGCGATGACAAGAAGAAGAACTACGGGAAGCAATTGGTTTTTATTAGATCCTTATTTCCCCGAGGAGAGCAAACGGAGCTCGCTTCGCACACTTTGAACCCGACTTACTCAGTAATTACATACATCGTGGCTGATTGGGTAAAGGTAACTACAGCATCGTTGTTAAAAAGCAACTCCAGCTCCAAAATCGCACGCCCATTGAAGGCACGGACTCGCATAGAGTATCACCGTACCTTGTTTGGATTTGTGCAGGCGGACTTAAGGCGATAAAGGCGTGGCCAGTGACGTGACGTTGGTTTCTTTGGAATTGCAGGCTCCTCCCTCAAATATGTCTCGATGTCGACGACCACACAGTCGAAGCGATCTCCTCCACCTGGTGCCACCAAACTTCACATCCCTGCTAGTCACATCGCTGGTAATGAGTCAAAGCATGAGCATCGAACCCTAGCACTGATCTTCACCTAACCCCGCCAGGGTTGAGCTCGGAATTGACCTCCTTTAAGCGATTCAAGCGATTGCCGAACGGTTACGCTTCAATAAGCTGCGAAAAATGTTTGATTTGTTGCACCTTGGAGTCATAAAGTCATGGAGCTTTTGAATGAAGTTCTCACTAACATTCCAAGAAAAGCTTTCTTGTCACGTCCTATGCCATTTCACTTTCCTTGCTACCATAATTCTCACGAGTTCGTTGCTTTTCTCTCAAGGAATGGCATGTTTTCTTCTTGCTTAGCTCCGATAGGAACATTTTGCTGTGGAAACGGACCCTGAGTGGAGCGAACTTCGTATAATTTTGATCCCTGGCCTTCAAAGGCTCTGGCCGCCGGGATCGGCAAGGTCATTACGTCTGAATTCAAGATTTCTACCCGCAGCTCGAGTTTCACTTTAATCATGTTTGATGTCGTTCTTCCATTGTTCAAACATTTGGTCGGCTAATCTGCACCCTTTCTATGAGCCATTTTCTCGACTAGTTCCAAATATGGGAATTTCAGCCCCTCACGGAGTCTGCCAGGCTTGCCGCTAGTCCCATCCCGGTTTTTCTCCTTGTTCCTTCTGTTTTTCCTATCTTACCCTGCTGCCGTCAGGATAACATTTTTTTGATTGGCTTAAAATGTTCACCTTTGTCGTTTAGAGGTGGATCCCACACCTAGGCCTTATGGGTGAAGGTCCGCCCAAGAAGGATGAAGCTGTCCTCAAGCACACTGCTTGTACCTGCTTCGATGCTCTACCTTGCCAGGCAGCGGCGCATAAACCTACAGATCCTGTGCTCCACCTAATACGCGAAGTCCCATCCCTGAAACTGATGGCCTACACCGTTTCCACTCTTGTTCGCATCCATGTTCTCTCTTTTCCAACTCTTCCCTCTCTCCTCGAAGCCCAGCATCTCTTGTCTCGCTGACTGTCTCGTAACAGAACTCTGCAAGGCCTAAAAGTATAGGCGCTCATTTGCAGCATTTCTGGTGGTGTCTCTCCCTTCTTTTACTATCGGAACATATCATTCTATTACATTAATTTCCCAGTGATGTGGTCATACCAATGTGATCATGGAGTGTGCCTTTAAGTCACGTGCTGGTGCCGTTCTGCTAGATTGAGATAGAACTTCTCTTAAAGGAATCTTCCGCGGAAAAAGCTCCGCCTCCATTACCACAGAAAAACGATACCCCTTAGGCCCCTAGCCTCATGAGCATAGCAAAAAGAACGGAACATAAGCGTTAGTCACGATAAAAATGGCGAAATGATACCTATTTGCCGT